TGGATATTTCAAGGCCGCAAGGACCTGTTCAGGATATGCAAAACTGTTCAGGACATGCAGGATATGCAAAGCAGGATAAACAAACACCAGGTGATACAGTTGTCAAAACGGGTGGTTTAAATGGGTTTAGGCGAGAAAAAAAACAAACGTGCGTCAAAAATTTGGCACAGGCGGGGCCAGGGTGCCCACTGCGGTTGTTGTAAAGGGAGGGTTATTGATTGGTCGATACCATAGTCAGCCACAACATCTTTATGCGTCGTACATAAATTAAGATGGTCATGCAGCATGTGCAGACATGTGCCAGCCACATCTGCATCCAGTCTTCAAGGGAGAGGTGGGCACACCTGACTGAAGCGTTGCCGAGTCACGTGGTGTCAGCTGATGGTCCGCTCCCGGTGGCCACGGTTGCAGTGCCCGACAATCGTCCTTTTTGTCATTCCTGTGCTCGCCTCGGTTTTACATTCCTGTGCTCGCCAGAGCTGTTTACTGCGCGGAAGTGAACGGCGGAATGCGTCTCACCGTTCTGGGTCTGCATGTCCCACATGATATGAGGCCCCTTACTCAACATGGCCTCTAACTTTCAAATGGTAAGGAGGCACCCCTACGCAAAACATTTTTCCCTGTCAACTTCGCACGGCGACACATTTTCCGACATTGTGCGTTCTACGCAGTGTGGTACCGGCATATGGGTGTACGGCGATGTTCCTTTGCACTATTTCGCATAATCAGAACGCGCCTTTGTCACTGCCCATATCAACTGTTCGAACAAATGTTGTTTGAAGCGTATAGCCTGGCACCTAGGTACCAAGCTGCATCCCTTACATCCTTGCACTGCGGATCTGTAATGAATCTCACCCTAGAAACCTCTCTTTTCAACTTCTCACACCGGCACTGTCGCGCTTTTGTGCTATAATGCAACAACTATATCGGTGTTGTGAATGCATTATTCACCGTAATTGTCAGTTACTCCTGTGGCCGCAGGGCAGTGCGTACAATGACGGGAGAATCGCCGTTGTAACGTTGTCGACATAACACCGAGCCCTGGAACTGCACCTGCACATGTCGTACACCCGAAATTGTGACCCAGTACGCACACAGGATGTTTGTGAAAAAATAAAAATCCAACACTTTCTAATGAGCCTTTCGGAGAATCCACCGAACCTACTTGTAACGAGGATTTCACCCTCGGGCGCCAAAAGAGATCAACAGAGTGACGAGAAATGAAACGAACTGAACTTTGGCTCCACACACGGTAATATTGGCACCCGCAATTTGCGCTTTTTCAAAATGAAAGCAGTGTTTTCCTGCAAGCGATATGTATGGTTTTGGTGAGACACATATACATAATTACCGTCATGTCCATTTATTTGAAATCTAAGCACCACTATAGTCTGCAAGCTGCTTGGAAGAAAAAATCCCATCCCCCTAAACCTGGTGGATTTGGCGCTTTTTGGCGCCGTAGATGGCCATCTACCGAAATGGGAAATTCCTCATATGGTGCAATGGCGCTGTTAAGTTAATTTATACGTTCGGAAATGTGTGGCACCTAGCCTTGGCGCTCTATGTGGCAACGTAGTTCAACGTGTTCTGAAAAAGGGCAGATCATTCTTCTCGCAATGGGATTTGTCTCAATGCAATCATTTTCAGACGTGTAACAACTCTTCGGCGTCGTTTCTCAGATGCTTGACAGATAGGTAAACCAGCAGAGAATACATAGAATTTTCCGTGATCGGAGCAGGCGCACAGCCTGGAGCATTCCAGAGAGAGCCCGATGCCTTAGACGGTCCCGTCCATGAGACTGAGCTCCCTGCGACCACCCATATTCTACCATCTCTGTTTTTGAATGGTTCCAGCAAGCACCCATATTTCACTGCTACCCATGCCCGTGTTGATTCCGGAGGGGCCTTCAAATGACTTTTGCGCTTTAAACTTGAAGAGGCCCAATAGCGTAGCCCATAAGGGGAGGGGGGTGGGGAGTGGGGTGAGGTTGGGGTGAATCCATGCTTTCCCTCTTCCCTTTCCTGGCGGTCGCTAAATTTTGGCCATTTTAGACACCCACCGGGCTTCTACAATATAAAAACGGCTCCGAGCCATCCCAATAGAATACTGAGGCAAAACCGTTCTCCCGGATACACAAATCATGACCCTATTTATATTAGATATTCATTCTACCGAAGGTTGTCTTAAGACTCTGGGCCACAGGAGAGAGTTGTTCGGACGTCAAGACTCTCGGAGAAAGACGCTTGCTAAAAAACAGGGCGACGACTGTGAAAGGAGTCTCTTGACTGGAGGACTGCCTTGTGACCCGATTTGGCCACCTGGGCCAAATCCTGGCTACGCTACTGAAGAGGCGCTGAATAGCCTCAGGGCGCGAGAGGGCCCTCATTCGAAGTCGGGACTCTGCGAGGGGCTCTGTTTTTAGGCCCAAAACTTCGCAAACAGGGCCTATTTGGACGTAACAGAAGGTCCTTTCTGAGATGTGAATTTTAGGATAACTCCGCATTCCCCCACCCCCCCGCTTTCTGCTCAAAGCTGGGGGGTGGCTGAAGCCCCCTCGAATAGGAAACTACACCCCTGCTCTTAAGCTAATATCACGGCTGCAAATGTGATACATAGGCGGTTGAAACGATGCTGCACCCGTACTTTTATCGAAAGACATTTTTATTGGACGAATCTAGAATCAATCATCTATTGCAACGGTTGGAGTCTCCAAAATGAATCAATCTGAAAAGTCTGAGTCTGGAATGCCAAAAGAGAATGTATCTGAAAGAACATTTGAGCCCGGAATGTTCAACAAGAATACATGGAAGCAGCATTCGCGGTTTTTTCCTCATGCAACGCCAGCTTTAGGTTCTCTGAATGCGCTGAAACTGCGCAGTCAACAAGATGGCGCCTAAGACTACGTAGTGACATCGCAAGACACATGGAGCCAATCACCGCAATGGAGCTCATATTGGACTTAACACCTTTCTGCAAATGCAAAACGTCGATTTCTGATACATCTTGACAATCGAAAGACCAATCTGCCCAGTAATAACATGCTCTCAGTATCCTCTTTTTAATGTTGAAGTTTTATAGGTATCCGTGTGCTGTTTTAGGTGCACTTTTTTGCTCTAACATACCTCCGGATGTTTTCCACATACGGCGTCAAATGTAGCTCTTTGAGGGCGCTGTGAGTGGACCATCAGCATAACGTAACATCATGGCGCCTGGGCCCACCTCAATGGCGCCGTACGAGGACGAGAGGAATGCGCTGTAATGGCGCCCAGACTGGACGTATTTCTTTCATAAAATAGATAACATCAATTCCTGGCCTATTCTAACTACAAAATGAACGCAACTGCCCTGAGCCGATATGCTGTCAAGCTCCCATTCCACTTATTGGAAAATTTGTGGTTATCCGCACGCTCTTCGGTACCGAAACCCAAAACTGAAGATGCTTTGTAATAGCAAGTGAAAGTTGCATGGTCCTAATGGATCTTCACGCAAAACTAGGAATTCGAAAATGGAAAATGTTGTGGCACAAGGATATGACAGCATATGAATGCGTCCCAATAGCTCTCAGTATCTAAAATGAGAACAGCATAATTTGATATACTTTGTGCACACTAAGGCCAACTAATTCATTTACGCGAAGCGCAAATTAAATGTTTTTTTAACGCAAGCACAAAGGCATTCTGGACCCTTACGGCGCCAAAGTCCAAGGCGAGCGCCAACAAATGTCTTTCTTATCTCGTAACCCAAACGAATGTGACAAAAAAGAAGAGGCGTGTGTTAAAGTGATGTTGTTTAGTGTGGCACTTCAAAGGCGGTCGCTGTCATTCAAAACAGCGGTTCGTTGGGACACAACACATATTTTTACGATTCGGTCCTCGTACGGCGCCAAAACCGGCGCCAAATCAGGATGGACTTTCGCCCGAGGGCATTTTCTTCAAACAGCGCCAAACAGTCCAGTTGAGCGCCAAAAAGTAGGCAATGCAAAATCCGCCCACCACCTTCCCCGAAATAGGGTTATGGCTATAACGGAGCTCTGCTGGCGGGCAGGCGTACGGCCGTCCACCCCGGCCCGGTCGTTATAGGGTGACATCGTGGCCTGCTGAGCAACGGTCCCAGTCCCTGTCGCAGTCGTGACAGGAAACCTTCCGCCGACAGCTGGGGCGCATGGGGGACAAGCGTTACGTAACAGCACCAGATGTCGCGCCCAGATGCGGGACCCCTCCGGGTCGGCGATCACAGGACGGGGAACAAGGGCATGGGAGGGAGAGACAGCTGGCTTTCCACCGTCGATTGGAGCAAATTGCAGTAAGTCCTCAAACGAGTAGCAAATGAATGTATGCACAGCATGAAGCCCGGCTAACACGTATTCTGGGGGCACGATGATCCTGATTCATCGTTCTGTGATGCTGACGGTGATCAAATGTTTCGTTAGAATTATTTGAAAAGCGTTCAAGCTATGTTGCTCATCAGTCCCGCCAGCAATCTTTTCCTGAGCATTGAGTATCAGCACGGCTAGACATGCTGCCACCACATGTCGGACTGCTGGAAAAGTTTCCACTGCACGACGTGCTCTTGCAAGCCCTATGGTCCGGGTATTTCAACCCGCGGCGTGGGAGCTTCGGCCGATTGTACTTCATGGAGCAAGCAACGGGACAATGATCAGTCAGCGCAACCTTATGCAACACGTTCAAGGCCCAGGATACAAAATCGGAGCCTGTGTTTGGATCTTGAAGCCCTCCAGACGCCTGCTTGTGACCCCGCTTGTGATGGCACGTGTTCATTTCCACATACGCGTGACGTGGGCACAGTTGACATTTGACACATGTGGGAAGCGTGACACCACGCAGTTTGAGCGACATCGTCACAGCAGACGCCCACCTCGGAAACTCAGACCTTGATACACATGAAGCGAAAGGAGCACTGCAAAAAGGTGGGCGACTGCAACGCACAGCGACAGAGCGCCTGCGATCGTCGCAGTGCGTCACGCGTGTGCACGCTCTCACCATCCAGGTCGGTGGCTTCCAAGTCGTAGAAGTTGCCGGGAGCTGCCATCGTGGAGGACGTTCTCGCCGCGACGCTCCTCAACAGAGTGCGTGTGACCCGGCCGTAGCCTGCCATCACCCCCACGGCCGCCATGACTATCGACACAGGCGCTATCGGCGCTCACACAGCTGCCGGGCGTCAGGCGGTCCGACCCTCGTCGGTGGATGGCGCGCTCTCTGCCGGTGACGCATGCGCGCTGGGCGCCGGCCGGAGCCAGCGCCGTCCATGCGGTGATCTATTATTGTAGATATGAAAGCGCCAGCCGTGGCAAAAATGTGCTCCAAAGGTGCCAAATTACAGGCGTTTTCTGACTACGCTGTGCTCGCGGGCGAGTACTGCTGTACCCACATGACAGCAGGGACGGATCCAGGATTTCGTCAAGGAGGTCCACGCAACATTGTGGGCCCCCTGGAGTTGGGGCCCCCTCCAAAGAACCCTTGTACTTCGGTCATTACATTTTAAGGCAAGTCGTATGTAACATGAATAATATATATACATGTTATATATATATATATATATATATATATATATATATAAACAGATATGCATGCATTTTGTTATTCATTTATTTGATAAATACGGAAATCCATCTTACTGTGCACGGCCCTCTAAAGCTAGGCGTGCTACGCATGCATACGTACAGGGCTCACTTATTTTCTACAGATCATGTGAAATGCTGTGATTTTGAGCCTAAGTGCTTCGAAACTACAGGTAAAATAAACTTAAGTTAGCTACTAACAGCCATGAAAACCGAGCATGGACTTGATTCCCTAGCTTATGTATGTACGGCTAGCCAGCTGAGCGATATAATCATCTGATGGCTGATGGCTAATGCAAAATTTTTCCTTTGTTCTACAGGAGTACAACATATCCTAGCATCCAAAATATGTCAAGAACGTGATGCACTGGTATAATGAGTGGCGTGTACTCAAAAGCCTATGGAAATGACATATGGGATGTCAGCGGCATGTAAAATTACGTTCGGCAATTGCGCGTAAAAATTTATTCGCATATACGCGCATATTCCACTGCTGCTTTAAGGCGAAGGCACCAAGGCCAATAGGCACGGAACCTGGGCGGTCATGGGTGCCGCAGGAGGCTAACAAGGTGGCTCCCGTCAACAAGTATAGGGTCCTTGGGGTGAGCAAAAAGAACGCAAGACCAACATGACGGACCCCTGAACGACCGGCAGTGCCCCGGCAGGCTGACATATCAGACACCGGCCAGAGCACATGGCCCTCGGAGCAAAGGGAATTATCCAAGATCATGAATTAATTTTCCTTTGCGGTCAAACGTGCGCGGGTAGGTTAACAACACGAGCCTTGATAGAAGTGAAGAGTCTTCCGCGAATGAGACCAAAGGGAGAGTGCCCTCGATCAAAGTAGAGGGCCCCTGAGCATCGAGTGTCTCCGTGTCTTACCTTATAAGAGCCCAAGCAACAGCACAAGGCCCTCCAAGCGCGTGAAAAGAACCCGAGACTTATGTGAAGGGCCCCTGGGCAACTGAGTGTACCCTGGCATATGGAGCCCCGGAAAAAGCGTACAGGGCCCTTGGGGCGAATGGGAAGAATCCGTGGAGGAAAACCTGATCGATCAACAGTGCTCAGAAATGGAGGCAGACAGCGTCCCATCAGCACATTAGGCCCCACTAGAAAATGCAAAGAGCTCAAGGGAAACGTGGAAAGCCCCTTAGCGATCAGATTGACCCGGCAAGTGGGCATGTGGCGCCAAGGCAACCAACGGCGTATTGCCTTTAGACAGCGTAATGATCCTCAAAATTTTCCCCCCGCAACACGTCCTCAATCAGCGAAGAATGAACTTCGTCTGTTTATGAACTCTTTATTTTTGCTAACAATTGTTCCTGGTCGTCTGTAGGCCCTAAGGCATCCAATTTTGTTGCGTTTTTGTGTAAGAAACTGCTTCCGTCCGGCCGGTTATGGGCCCCTTCGGAACCTTCAGACCCCTTCGGCATGGTCCATGGGGATGATTCCGTGCCTCCCCCCCCCCCCTCCCTCCGCATCCGCCACTGGCCCAAGCAGCTTAACTGGGGGGGGGGGGGGGCGTTAAGAACATAGGGCCATCCATTCAAATAAGAAATACTCGCGACGCAATGTGCAGGGCTCTGAACGATCAAATGCGCCCGGGCAGGCTAACATTGAAATAGGAAGCATCCAAGACCCAGTGTAGATGGCCCCGAATGATGGAGTGTGCCCGAACAGGTTAACAGATAAGGTTCTCGAAAAGAGCGTAGGGCCCTCCATTCAAATAGGAAGTATTCAAGACCCAGTGCAGAGGACCCCGAGTGATCGAGTATGCCCGAGCAGGTTAAAAAATAGGGCTCCTAACAAGAGCGCAGGGCCCTCCATTCGATTGGGAAGCACCGAAGACCCCATGTAAATGACGCCAGGATGATGGAATGTGCCCGAGCAGCTTATCAGAGGGAACCGACAAGAGCGCAGGACCCTCCATTCAAGTACAAAGTACCCAAAACTCAGCGTGGTGGGCCCCCGAAAGATGGAGTATAGATGAGCAGATTATTAGGTAGCCCAGACAGGAATGTAGGGCCCTAAATTCAAACACCGAGACCCAATATATAGGGTCCCCGAACAATCCAGTATGGCCGAAGCGGCGAACAGATGGGTCCCCAAGTGCACAGGGCCCTCCACTCAGGTAGGAATTACCCAAAACACAATGTGGAAGACCACCGGATATTCGAGAGTGCCCGAGCAGGTTAACAGATGGGGACCCCGGCAAGAGCGTAGGGCCTTCCGTTCAAGTATGAGACACCCACGACACGATGAAGAGGGCCCCGAATGACCGAGTGTGCCAGAGCAGGTTAGCAGGTAGAGCCCCCGAAAAGAGCAGAGGGTCTTTCATTCAAAAAGCAAGAGCCCAAAGCCAGATGTACAGGCCCCCACGCATTCAAATAAGAAATGCACATAACTCGGTGTGGAGGGTCCCCGAAAGATAGAGCATACCCAAGCAGATTGTCAGGTGGCCCAGACAGGAGAACGGAGCCTACCGGAGCAGGTTATCAGATGACCTCGATAGGAGCAAAGGGCCCTAAATTCAAACACTAAGTACCAATGTGCAGGGCCTTCGAGCAATCCGGTGTGACCGAGAAGGTGAACAGAGAGGGGCCCCCGACAAGTGCGTAGGGCCCATTCAAATAGTACGTGCCCAATGCCCAATGTAGAAGGCCCCGAATGATCGAATGTGCCCGAACAGGTTATCAGAACCCCACCCCCCACAAGAGCGTAGGGCCACCATTCAGAAAAGGAGTACACAAGACCCAGTGTGAACGGTCCCCAAAGGGCTGAGTGTGCCCAAGCAGGCGTTCAGATGGGCCCCTCGACAAGAGGGTAGAACCCTAAGCCAGCGATAGGGAAATAGAGGCGCCCTAGACCAATGTAGAGGGCCCCTGAGCATATCGCAAGTGTGTCGGCAGGTAAACAAGACCCACGTGAAGGGCCCATGAGCAACCGAGAATATGCTGGCAGGCTAAGGTATGGGACCCCGACTGTAGCCCAAAGGCTTTCTGTCGGGCCTGTGATTGACAAGAGTGCCCCGACACGCTAGCAGGAAGGGTCCCAACAACAGCCCAGGGCCCTCCGAGTAAATGCAAGGAAGTGAAGGGCAACGGGGAATGCTCTTAACGATCGAAATGATCCTGCAAGTGAGCATATAGGTCCCCGGAAACAGCATGGGTTCCCTAGACAGTGTGATGAGGCTTAAGATTTCCAGTTCACAGCTTTTCTAATCGTCGAATAATTTTTTTGACTTCTCATAGGCCTCTCATCTTCGCTCACAGCTGTTCTTGGTCGCCTGGAAGTCCAGATATCCAGTTTTGTTGCGTTTTGTGTTTAAAAAAACTGCACCTGTTCAGCCAGATATGGGCCCCTAGGATCCAATGGGCCCCTTCGGGGCCCAAGGGGGGCCATGGCCCCATGGTCCCCTTCTGGATCCGCCCCTGCAAGACAGGCAAGCAAGGTCTATCAAACACAAAAGTGGCATGCGTGAAGAAGTAGGTGCTGTCCACATATCAACAAAACGGAACAGGACAAGAACGACTCAGAGAGTCGTAACAAAAAAGTGACTGTGTTTGAGCAATGCAATTAAGAAAACGCAGTGTGAAGGAATTTTGGGCTTTCTTGGGCATGGATGGCCGCAAGCAAGCACGTCTCTGAGATCACGGTGATAAATGAGGGATGTAGTGATGAGACTGGAATCTTGGGGAGACGGCCTGACTTAAAAATAACACGTAAAATTGGAAACTTTAGATAAACTAGCATTTTACTTGCACAATTGTGGATCACACACGTCGGCATATACTACACATCAAGAACAGCGTAAATCACGTAAACCATCCCCCAATTTCCACAGAGGTTTTGCTCCTCTTATTATCTCCAATTAACCGTAGTCGGCAAGAATGGCCACCTTTGAAGTTAAACTCCAAACATGCTTGAGAGCATTCGAAGATGGTTATGTGGCCAAACCGCATATTTCAAAGTGCTTGCAGTTTGGCCATGAGCAATTTGTTCACATCACTTAGCATCGTTGCCTTCTGATCTTCGATCTGACTTCGAGAACTCCTACGACTACGCTGTCACCCCGCTACGCACCCGCAGCGGCTTTTATTGTCTGCGTTTGGTAATTCGCGGGACCAAGCAGCCAAGCAATAAAACTTGTCTTGTTTGGTAGCTTTGGAGCAGATTTTCTCCATGAGTGGCGTCTTTGTATCTACAGTAATATAACGCGTCCAGGCGCAGTGCCAGGTGCAGGAATATGGCGGCGTCCCGTGCAACCGCGTGGAGATGACGTCAGGCCTTATGTAAAGAAAACGCGTGGTTTGAGACGGTGCGGGTTTCTGACGGAATTTGTACGCGACGCTGTCACGGGCGAATGGTGCGGCGTTGGTGGGCATCACAGCATCGCATTCGATTTTGAGCTGACATGGACGTTAGTTGACGTGGTGTCTAAGAGGGGGGGGGGGGGGGAGGGGAGCCAGCGTCTTAGAAAGAGGCAGGGTAGGGGACACAGGGTTGACAAAGAACCCCCTCTAATGGAAGCCCCCTCCAAAAAAAAAAAATCACCGGATACGTCCCACCAGAATTTCAGCGGACACGATTTTCTTCGTTTCAGATTTCTCTACCTTTTTAACTAAC